GTCTTTGAGCTGCTGCTACCTTTTTCCCCCCCTCAAGGCTAGCACTTTACCACTTGAACCACAGCTTGCTCTACTTCTAGCCTTTTGGTGATGAATTGAAGGAAGAGTCTCATGGTCTTCCCTGCCTGGGCTGGCTTTGAATCATGATCCTCGATCTTAGCTTCTTGTGTAGGTAGGATTACAGGTGCGAGCCTCTGATGTCTGGCTTGTGAAAAGGATTTTTAACAATATATAATTTTAACAATAAATGGATACATAATTATACAGGTGTGTATTTTAGTTTTGGGGGCTTTTTGTTTGAAAGTATTCATATATAAGTAAAATATGTAGTGATAAGAACTCTCATCAGTTTTTATGTTGGTAATTTGTGTTTCCTTCTTTTTTCTTTTTGTCCTGATTAGCCTGATCAGAAATGTATTATTTTTTATTTTCTCAAAAAAAAACCACCGTTTGGCCGGGTGCTGGTGGCTCACGCCAGTAATCCTAGCTACTCAGGAGGCTAACGATCATGGTTCAAAGCCAGCCCGGGCAGGAAAGTCTGTGAGACTCCTATTTCCAATAAACCACTAGAAAACTGGAAGTGGCACTGTGGCTCAAGCGGTAGAGTGCTGACCTTGAGCTGAAGAGCACAGGGACAGTGCCCAAGCCCAGAGTTCAAGTTCCACGACCGACCACAAAAAAAAAAGTCACCGTTTGAATTGACCATTTTTTGTTGTTGTTGTTTTTATCATTTTTTAATTTTTCAATGATTCCAGTTAATGTCGTTGTTTCTTTCATTAGTGCTCTTTAGGTTACATTTGCTTTTCTTTTTCTAGTTTCTTTAGTTGGAAACTGATTTGAGATATTTTCTCATATAGGTATTCAAAATTTTCCTGTAAGTACTGCTTTAAAAGCATTTCACAGATTGGTAGGACAAATTTTCATTTTCATCTGGTGAAAAATATTCTCTATTTCTTGTTATTTTTTAATTCTGAAAGATATGCCCTGTTTCAAAATTTGGATCTGTTTTGGTTTGTTTTGTGCTTGCTAAGCCGGAACTTTACTACTTGAGCCATGGCCCCAGCTTTTTTTTGCTTTAGTATTCTTCAGATAGGAGTCAGCCTCAGACCGCCTTGCTCCTAATTATGCTTCCATGCATAGCTAAGAGGTGTAGATCACAGTACCTTGCCAAAATTTGGGTTTAACTATTAATGGTTTCTAATTTAATTCTATGTTGTCTAAGAACATTGTTTGTATGACTTGTCTTTTTCTGTTGAAATTTGTTTTTTGTGTATATTTACATGTTATTTTTGGTGAACCATCTGTGTGCACTTAAAAGAGTATTATTGAGTTCAGTGTTCTGAAAATGTCAGTTAGGTTAAATGTGCTCAAATCCTCATATCCATCCTGGATTTTATGCATTAGTTCTGTTAATTTGGGTGATAAGGAATATCATAATCTTCACTAAGATATAATGTATCTGTTACTTTACTGTAGCAAATTTATTTTTACCACCCCTTTCTTTTCTAACTAGTATGTTATGGATGAGTCTCAAATCTTTCCTTAATTCTTTGATAGCTTTCAGTGTTTATGTAAAGAAACCCTACTCTCAGAGTATGAGAGATTAATATCAGTATAAGGAGTATTTACTATATTTTAGCAGTAAATAAAGAGAATTGGCTGAAAAATCCTTCCAAACAATTGTCTACCATGGAGATCTGCCCCCATCCCCCATTAGTTCTAGGGTTTGAACCCTAGTCCTCAAACTAGGTAACTACTGTACCACTTAAACCATGTCCCAGTCCAAGTTCTGAACTTTTGATTTACTCTTACAACAATATCTTTTGCTAGGCAAGGAAGAGAGAGTCATATTTATTTTTTGGCCAAAGAAGGAAAACTTGATTAGTCTTACTTGGAGTCTTGCTACCAGTAGTAGAGCTTTAGTTGTAGTTTTCTTTGGAAGGATAGAAATAGGAGAAACTATGCAGTGAAATTAACAATTGCTTGCCTGTCCATTCTGTTCTCTTTATAGTCCAACCTAAGGGGTGTGTGTGTGTGTGTGTGTGTATGCATATGCATATGGATATGCATGCGCACGCATACTTGCTTCTATGCTGGTTTTGGGATTGAATTTAGGGTCTGAGCTCTGTCCTGAGCTTTTTGTTTAAGATTTGTGCTCTGCCACTTGAACTATATCACCACAGTTTTTCTGACTAGTTAACTGGAAATAAGAGTCTCATGGATGCTGGATGCCAGTGGTTTCACAGCTGTAATCCTAGCTACTCAGGAGACTGAGATCTGAGGATCACAATTCAAAGCCAGCCCAGGCAGGAAAGTCCATGAGATTCTTTTTTTTTTTTTTTTAATATTATTGTGAAAATACTGTCCAGAGGGGTTACAATTACATGAGCAAGGAGTACATTTCTTATCAAGCATTGTTGCCTCCCCTACCAACCCTTCCCGTCTTCACACTCATCCCCCCCTCCCGTCCCCCCTCCGCCTAAATTGTTTTTCCACGTAGCATCTTGTACTTCTCATTGTTGCAATGAGTCAGCCTGTATCCCTATTTAAACAATTTGTTTTTTCCCTTCCGCTCCTCAAATTATACCAACATCAAATACAGTGAAAATAGGGGTTATACCATGGGGGGAGGGACATACCAAGCAACAAAAAAAAAAACACATGGTACCTTATAAATATGTTAGAAACAATAGCAAGAAAGAAAAAAAAACCACTTGTGTCCTTATCTTGGGGTTCATTTTGCTTAACATCATCTTATCTGACCTTTTCTGCTTTTCAGATGTATATTAGTTATTGCAAATAAGGGAAACCATGGGACCTATGTTTCTTTAGGCCTGGCTTACTTCACTTAATATAATTTTTTTCTATTTCCTAACAAATGGGGCAATGTCATTCTTTCTGATGGAGGCATACTACTGTGTATATATACCACATTTTCTTGATCCATTCATTTACTGAGGGGCATCTTGGTTGGTTCCATATCTTAGCTATGGTAAATAATGCTGCAATAAACATAGTTGTGCTAGTAGCTTTAGTATGGTCTTGTTTGTGATCGTTTGGGTAAATGCCCAAAAGTGGGATTGCTGGGTCATAGGGGAGCTCTATGTGGAGTCTTTTGCGGAACCTCCATACTACTTTCCAAAGTGGTTGTTAGCTAGCAAGATCAGTAAAAAGTCCATGAGACTCTTATCTCCAATTAACCACCAGAAAACTGGAAGTGGCTCTGTGGCTTAAGTGATAGAGCACTCACCTTGAGCTGAAGAGCTCAGGGACATCTGGGGTACCATTGTTAATATCTCATCCTCCTATACCATTTCTTTTTTTTTTTTTGGGGGGGGGGTCCAGTTGTGGGGCCTGAACTCTGGGCCTGAGTGCTGTCCCTCAGCTCTTCAGCTCAAGGCTAGCACTCTACTACTTGAGCCACAGCGCCACTTCTGGCGTTTTTCTTTTTGCTTATGTGGTGCTAAGTAATCGAACCCAGGACCTCAGGCATGCAAGGCAAGCACTCTACCACTGAGCCACCTTCCCAGCCCCCTCCTGCATTTCTTGTATGTTTCAAAAGAATGATATCAAATGACTTTCGTAGCTTATTTATTTTATTAAAAATGTGAAGTGAAGCCTGACACTGGTGGCACGTCTGTAATCCTAGCTACTCAGGAGGGCAAGATCTGAATATTACCGTTCAAAGTCATTCCAGGCAGGAAAGTCTCTGAGATGTTATCTCCAATTCACTATCAGAAAACTCAAAGTAGAACTGTGGCTCAACGTGGTAGAGCGCTAGCCTTAAGTAAAAGAGCTCAGGGGCAGTGCACAAGTCTGGGTTCAAGCCCCATGACTGACACCCCCCCCCCCCAAAAAAAAAAGGCAAAATGAAGGCCTTTTCACACCAAATGTCCATGAGTTGTCATTTTGCTCTTTCTTTACAGGATATTCCTATAGTCACTTTCCCATTGATTTCTTCATTTCCAAAGAATGAAGGAGTTTCTGATTGGTGAAAGAGTGATGTAGGCCATGTTGGAGAGTAAATATTATACAATTCCCTATTGGCTGTACATAAACTGCTAGTGTATGAAAAGTTAATTATATATTGTAAACATTAAAACTTGATATGTAAGCACTGTATATTTTTAACCTTTCACTTGGTTAGTTTACTTGTACAGAGCACAAAGATGCATTTTATTATTACTTGGGAAAATACAGTTTGTAAAAGTTAAAAGTTGTAATGTATATGTACATATCTTAGTTTAAAAACAAAACATCAAATTAAGTCATTATTGTGACACATGTTCATAATCTCAGCCCTTGCGAGACTGGAGAAGGAGGATCACATAGTGAGGCCCTGTCTCCCAAAAACAACTCCAACAATATCAATTTACAAAAAGACTTCAAATTATTATACATGCATGGTTTTTTGAACTTTTTAAAGTTAAACAGAAACACAGGAATTCACAGAGTATTTTTCTTTCACTGAAATGTCATGAAAAATGTTATTTTTAAGCATTGTAATTTGATACTGTTATTTAAAGTGTTGTTTAATGACATCAAGAAATATCAGAAAAGACTATCAGATGCTAGTGACCTGTAATCCTAGCTACTTTGGAGGCTGAGAATGATATGTATGATAGTTTGCCCCAGGCAGGGGGGAAAATATTGTAAGAGCCCTTTCTCACCTTGAAGGCTGAGTACAGTAGTGTATAACTGTTTTCCTAGCTCCAACTCATGAAGCCTTCAATAGTGGGATCACAGCCCAGGTGTACTTCTCTGAAGGAAGTGAGACCTATCTCAAAAACAACTTCCTTAGGAAAGGATTGGAGCTATAGCTCAGCAGCAAAGAATAGGCCTAGAAAGTAAAAGGCCCTGAGTAATGTAAAAAAGGAAACAAAAAAAAAGAGGAAGGAAGGAAGAGAGAGAAAGGGAGAAAGAATGAAAGAAAAAGAAAAGAAGAGAACAACTTGCAAAGGAAGAGAAGAAATGACTTTGATTTTGATTTTTTTTTTAAGGTGGCTATCATCCAGTGAAAATTGGAGACCTCTTCAATGGTCGCTATCATGTCATTAGAAAGCTAGGATGGGGGCACTTCTCTACTGTCTGGCTGTGCTGGGATATGCAGTAAGTGTTTCTTTGTTGTTTGTACACATTTCTGGTCTGGTTCAACATCTGTTTTCTAGGACGTTATGGCTGAGGGTTATTCTTACTTCGTTGTGGCATGTGAAGTTCTGCCTATAATAGAAAGGTTGCCCTAAGATTTATCTCCACTAATTTCTTACATTCTTTAAAAAAAAATTACTAACTTCTGAATTTTTTTCCTGAATCTTACTTGCTTTTGAAATTGCTTTTCATTAGGGTCATATTAATTTTCTAGTCCCAGAATAACAGAGAAATAGAAATTAAAAATACATAGCTCTTCCTTTTTTCGTGACATTTTGTGGTATTTTAAGGCCATGGTATTTAATATTAAGCTTCACTGCTGCTCAGTCCAGATATACTTGTACATTGTTTATGTGCATATAAACTAAAAATATGTTGCAAAGAGCACTTTACCTTACTGTATGTGGTAACTTGCATTTTTCTAGTCTACATTAATACGAAAAATAAATATAGAATGGAAAAGGTTAATCCATGCAACTATTATTTAATTGGGGGCCCCCAAATGTGTAAATAATATTTTAAGGAAAAACTTAAAGTTCTTACTTACTGGCTAGATACTATCATAACAGTTACTTCTTCTGCTGATAACATAATTCTACATTTTTTTTTTTTAAAGGGGGAAAAGATTTGTTGCAATGAAGGTTGTAAAAAGTGCCCAACATTATACAGAGACAGCCTTGGATGAAATAAAATTGCTCAAATGTGTAAGTATTGCAAAAATATATATAATGTGAAAAAAGTAAATTACTAATTTCACGAAAGGCTTTTTTATTTTTTGTCGGTCATGTGGCTTGAACTTTGGGCCTGGGCGCTATCAGCTAAAAGGTTCTTTTGATGATGTAAATTAAATTAGAATTTATTTTTTACAAGTTCATTTTATAAGTTTATATGAAAAGTATTTCATGGGTTGTTGTAATTGCAAAGAATCTCCCTTAATTTCCTTTGTTTTTGTTTTTGCATAGGTTCGAGAAAGTGATCCTAGTGATCCAAACAAAGACATGGTGGTCCAGCTCATTGATGACTTCAAGATTTCAGGCATGAATGGAATACGTATCCTTTGCTGCTGGTTGTTTGTTTGTTTGTTTTGTTTGTTTAGTAAGGATTTATTTTTGTATAATAAAGAAGGGAGAAATATAAAAAGGAGAACATTTGCTGCTTCCCATGCAGGAAATTAAGACATGATGGTTGAATTGTACTACAGCATACGTTTTAGTAATGTATATAATCATACCTTTTTAATTATTATTTTTTAGGAACTGTACAAAAGAGTCACACTTCATTAAGTCAGGGTATGAGTACAGTGCATCTTAGGCAATGTCATTTTTTTCTTCACTTTCAGTTCAGTTCAGGCCTGAACTCTGGGCCTGGGTGCTCTTCAACTTAAGGCTAGAGCTCTACCACTTGAGCCACAGTGCCACTTCCTTCTTTTTCTGCTTCTGTGGTGCTGAGGAATTGAACACAGGGCCTCATGCATTCAAGGCAAGCACTCTACCACTGAGCCACCTTCCCAGCCCTCACCATACATTTTTATGAGAAGTGATGTTGGTGTGTGTGCATATGTGCATATCCTAGGGGACTGTTCCTGAGCTGTTGTGCTGAAGGATAATGCTCTACCACTTGAGCCACAGCACCAATTGGAGATAAGAATCTCACAGGACTTTCCTGCCCAGGTTGATTTTGAACAGAGCTCCTCAGATCTTAATATCTTTTTTATTGTTACCTTCAAATTGTTGTACAAGGGGAGGGTTCATTTCACCAATTATGTATGTATATTTACCAGAGTCACATTGTTCTCCCCCTCATTTATCTTGCCCCACCTGTCTCATCAAGCTTCCTAGTTCCATTTTCAAGCATGTACATTGAGTGTTATGACTCTTTCAATCTTCTACCCTCCTCTTCTGACATCCCTCCCCCCAAGTCAAGATATATTTCAAGTTTCTGATATTTTGTTAATGTTTGAAGTGGTTAGTTACACCATGAAATCTCATTCCTGTATATATCATTCTTCAGTCAGTTTGAGTGTGTGTATCATATATTCCTATGGTTTTGTAAGCATTTCGTTCATGTTTATAATTTATAATTATAATTAAATTATAAGTATAAAATAATATAGACAATTATAATATAGTATGTATACTATTTGTATATTGTTATATACAAATACATATTATGTATATTACATATAAGTATGTATAACAATATATAAAATACATATAGTAAATTATAATTTAGGTCTAACAACTACAAGCGAGAGAAAACACATACCCTTTATCTTTGTGAGCCTTGTTCCTCCTAGAGAATGAATACAATTCCATTGAGTGTGTGTGTACACATGCATGTGTGAACACACGCATACATGCACACACGCCCACTTGATTTATTTCTCAGTTGTAGAACATCTGGGCTGTTTCCATAACTTGGATATCCTGAATAGTCCTGCAATTAACATGGATGTATAGGCGTTTTATTGTAGCCTGACTTAAATTCCTTCTTGTAAATGCCCAAAGAATGTTATTCCTGAATCATAGATTGGTTGTTTTCTTTTCTGTTGTGAATAATCTCCATACTACCTCCATAGTGATTGAACTAATTTATATTCCCACCAAAAGTGTATTGATTCCTTTTTCTCCATATTTTCACCATCACTTGTTGGTGTTCTTAATAATGGCCTTTCTGACTGGATTGACATGCAATCTCAATGCTGTTTTGATTTGAATTTCCTTTATGTCCAGGGGATGTTAACATTTCTTCATTGGCCACTTTTACTTCTTCTGAGAATTGTCTGTATTTCCTTTGTGCATTTATGGCTTTGGTTATTGAATCTTTGGAGTTCAGATTTTGAAGCTGCCGGTATATTTCTGGTTATTAGGCCCTTGTTAGAGGTATAGCTGGAGCAGATCTTCTCCCATTCTATAGGCTGTCTTTTTCAGCTTAGTGACTGTATCCTAAAATAGTTTGGAATATACATTAAATAATGCATGATACATAATAAGTGCTTAGTAAAATAGTGTTTAAAAATTTAGGTGAGAGGGGCTGGGAAGGTGGCTCAGTGGTAGAACGCTTGCCTTGCATGCCTGAGGCCCTGGGTTCGATTCCTCAGCACCATATGAGCAAAAAGAAAAAAGCCGGAAGTGGCACTGTGGCTCAAGTGGTAGAGCGCTAGCCTTGAGCTGAAGAGCTGAGGGACAGCGCCCAGGCCCAGAGTTCAGGCCCACGACCGGACCAAAAAAAAAAAAAAGAATTTAGGTGAGAAACAGCAACTTACTGCTTTGATATTTATTAATAGTATTATTATGTAATTTATAAAGAAGGAAATATTTTGCAAGAGACCCTTGTTAGCGGAATAGCTTGAGCAGCTCTTCTCCCATTCTATAGGCTGTCATTTTCAGCTTAGTCACTGTATCCTAAAATAGTTTGCAGTATACATTAAATAATGCATGATACATAATAAGTGTTTAGTAAAATAGTGTTTAAAAATTTAGGTGTGAAACAGCTACTGACTGCTTTGATATTTATTAATAGTATTATTATGTAATTTATAAAGAAGGAAATGTTTTGCAAGAGACACAGTGATGCTGCTTTCCGTAAATGCCTTACTCCAGAAAATATACCCTCAAATGATCCTTAACTACTTCCTAGATGTATGCATGGTCTTTGAAGTGCTTGGCCACCATCTCCTCAAGTGGATCATCAAGTCTAACTACCAAGGCCTCCCAGTTCGTTGTGTGAAGAGTATCATTCGACAGGTGAGGCTTCTGAGAGGGTCCCATACATTCTATCCAATTGGCTAGCTTTCAGCCTGGGCTGTTGTGGCCTTTTTTATATTTCTTTTTTTTTTTTTTCCTTATTTTTTATTTTTATTTTTTCTCCTTATTTTTGCCTGTGCAGTCCAAGGTAGCCTAAAACTCATGATCCTTTTTCCTCAGCCTCCTGAAGAAGGAGGCCTGATTTTCTGCTCTTAATAAAATAATGGATGAGGGCTGGGAAGTTGGCTCAGTGGTAGAGCGCTTGCCTTGCATGCATGAGGCCCTGGGTTCGATCCCTCAGCACCACATAAGCAAAAAGAAAAAAGCTGGAAGTGGCGCTGTGGCTCAAGTGGTAGAGCGCTAGCCTTGAGCTGAAGTGCTGAGGGACAGTGCCCAGGCCCAGAGTTCAGGCTCCACAACCAGACCCCCAAAAAAATGAAATGAAATAAAATAATGGATGAATGACATTTTGGACTCAATCCAGTTTAATTTTTCTATTCTTCACATCTAACTCAAAAAGTTCCATAATGATTTTTTTTCTTTTCTTTTTCTTACATTTATTTTTTTCTCCTGACTTCAAAAGGATGTACCAAAGAGGTTACAATTTAATGTGTCCATCAAGGTGTCTAGTGCACTGTCAGAGTCACCCTTCTATCATTTTTCTCTATCTGTTCCCTCTTCCTAGATTTATTTCACATTTCCCACTTCCTTTCTCATGTATTACATTGAGTATTTTTTGCCATATTTGTCCTATTTCCATTTTTAATTAATCTTCTCTTGCTACCTTTCCCCCCTTATAATCTGGTTTCGCTTTTAGTATTCATTTTCTTAAATTGTTAATTGTATTCCTGTATATACTTTAGTCAACTAAATTTTGTATTTAAGAATATGATTCTATGTGTGATTATATGGGAGGCTGCATCTATGATCTACATAGGAGAGAAAACTCCTTTGTCTTTCTGGGTCTAGCCTTTCTCATTACAATATTTTCCAGATTCATAATTTCATTCTTCCTGATGACTGCATGAAATTCCACTTTGTATGTGTGTATATATGTATATCATATCACATTTTTTGATCCATTCATCCATTGTGGGGTATCTGTGCTGAGTCTATAACTTGGCAATTGTGGACTGTGCTGTGATGAACCTAGGTGTGCTATTGCTTTAGTTGTATCCTGACATGTAGTCTTTCAGATAAATGCCCAAGAGTGTTATTTATTTAATGATAAGCTGTATAAAGTAAGCCATACATGAGTGTCAGGCATACATTGCTTTTGGCATATCAATCTTTTTTAAGGTTTGTGATATGTCATAAGTAGAAATTGTTGTATCTAGCCTACTTAGTATAAAACACTGAACTTAACTTCTACAATAATAATTGTTGTGGTTATTTCCTTTGTTGAGGGGCAGTACTGGGGATTTAACCCAGCCTGTTTTCTAGGCAGGTGCTCTACCATTTGAACCACACTTCCAGCCTTGTATTTATTATTTCTAATTATTCTTGGGTAGAGTGAAAAATCTTAAGATAGCATGAGTTGTTTATAGATTCTTAATTACTAAGGGACTAAATTCTGGGGAATCTAATTTATAACATGGAGATTTTAGTTAACAATACGTGAAATTTTCAAAAAGGAGATCTTACGTGTTTTCACCACACACAAAAAGGTAATGTGACATAATTAATAGGTAAATTTGTTTGTGATCATTAAACAATGTGTACATGTATCAAAACATGACATTACACAGTAAATACATTCAGTAGGTTTTGCTTTGGGTGCCAGTTCTGGGGTTTGAACTTAGGGTCTGGGTGTTTTGTTGTCTCTGAACTTTTTTTGCTCAAGGCCAGCACTCTTCTCCAGTTCTGGCTTTTTGGTGGTTAATCAGAGATAAAAGTTTCATGGACTTTGCTGCCCAAGCTAGCTTTGAACTGTGATCCTCAGATCTCAGTAACTAGGATGATAGTTGTAAACCAGCAGCAGCTGGCCTGCATTCACTTTTTTTTGTTGTTGTTGTTTTGTTTTCAGTTGTAGACCTGGGGCTTGAATTCAGGACCTGGGCATTGTATCTGTGCTTTTTTACTTTAGGCTAGTATTTTACCATGTGAGGCACACCTCCATTTCCTGTTTTATAATTTTTTTGTTTCTGTTTTTTTTTTTATTTATTTCTTTTTTTTTTTTGATGGCTAATTAGAGATAAACATCTCCTTTGAACTACAATCCTCATATCTCAGACTTCTGAGTTGCTAGGATTGCAGTTGAGAGCCATTAGCTTCTGGTGCATTCAGTTTTTATTGTCATCTATACCCGTTATCCCTTGATGTTTGGGAAAAGAGTACTTGGGTCTAGAGAAGGGAAAGACAGTACATATTGGCTTTTTTTTTTTTTTTCTAAATTTTTACTTTATTCAGTTACCTTACCAAAAGAGACCCTCAACTAGGGATTTATTTAGTGAAGATGCTGCAGTAAATATCTGTGGAGTGGAAGTAATGCATAGATGGAAGATATCCTTCTTATTAGCAATGTTTATTAGATTCAGGTTTTTGTTGTTGTTTTGTACAGACTGTTTAAATCTGCTTTCTACTCATTACCCATACTGCCAAAATTAGGAAAGTTGCCACTATGACTTACCCTGAATTACCTGTTACTGTGTAATGGATAATTGCCATGGAACACAATTCTGCAGAATGAGGAATATATCAAGGAGATTGATTGATTTTCTTGAGAAGTGATTAAGAATTTCTCCCCAGTCTCCACAGTCTTAAAGTGCTCTTATATAAATATAAACACTTGTTTGTTTTCTAAAAGTAATGATAAAATTAAATCAACTCTTCTTCAAGGTTTCCTAAATACTATTGCCCATCTTGTGATCAGTTTTTACTTTTTCTCATTTAGCCATAGCAAAAAAAAAAAAAGGCCATCCTGGTGGTTTGAGTAGCTGTAGGGATATTCTGCAGCTCGCCTCTAGGAATTCTGTAGGGCTCAATCTTAGGACTTTGTCTCCTATCTTCTATTTTTTTTTTTTACTTTATAAATCATGAAGTCTATTTTATGTCCACTTTTTCTTTCTTACTGTGGTTTTTGTTTAAATCGTTTTGAGTTTCTCACATAATTTAAATAGAACTTGGCAAGTCCTGGGAAAAATACTGTGTGTATTTAATTAGATTAATTTGTGTATTATGCCAGTTCTGAGGTTTGAACTCAGGGCCACTCAAGTACCACTTGAGCCATGTCTCCAGCCTAGATTTTTGGTGATTGATTAGACTTTTCTTCAAATTACAAATTTCTTCAAATTCTTGAAATTACAACCCTCAGATCTCAGCCATCTAAGTAGGCACTGGCATCTGTCACATTAAAAAATGTTTTTTTTACATTACTGGGACTCAAACTTAGGTTTGTGATTGTGCTAGAGACAATAGGTGTGCTTCCTGCTATTCACCCAGTTTTTCAGTCCTAGCTTTTGCTTTTTATTTTTGCTTCCTTCTTTTGGCATACACCTGGGTGCAGTCCACCTGTTACATGTCCTGGCAGCTAGGATAACAGATGTGCACCATTATGTCTACTTCTTCACTGAGAAAAGGGGTCTATGAATTTCTGACTGGGCTGGCCTTGAACCTCATTCTCTACAGTCTTAGCATCCAAAGTAGCTAAGATTACAGTTGTGGGCCACTAGTCTGGTTTTTGTGGTTATTTTTTTTTTTTTTTTGGAGTCCGGTCGTGGGGTCTGAACTCTGGGCCTGAGCACTGTCCCTCAGCTCTTCAGCTCAAGGCTAGCGCTCTACCACTTGAGCCACAGCGCCACTTCCGGCTTTTTTCTTTTTGCTTATGTGGTGCTGAGGAATCGAACCCAGGGCCTCAGGCATGCAAGGCAAGTGCTCTACCACTGAGCCACCTTCCTAGCCCCTTTGTGGTTAATTTTAAGATAATGTTTCACTTTCTGTCTAGGCACATGCCTGGACTGTGGTCTACCTATTTTTCAGCTTCCTGTAGTTGCTATAATGACAGGCATTCACTACTGTGTCCAGTTTCATTCCATGGAGATGGGAGTCTCACAGACTTTTCTGCCTGGGTTAGCCTGAAACTTGATCCCTCTGATCTCAGCCTTTCACATAGCTTGGGATGATAGGCACCATGCCATTTCATCCAGCTATGGGGTGAGAAACGGTCTTGCAAACTATTCTTCCTGGGCTGAACTTGAACCGCATTTTTCCTATTCTTAGCCTCTTAGGTAGTTAAATTATAGGCATAAGTCACTGGTGTCCTGCAAAGCACAGTTATAGCTCTGGATTTTAAAATTCATCTTTCTCTTGTCATAATTATAAATGAATTTTCATTATCAGATGTGTATTAATTTGTATGTTTTATGTATTATGCCATCTAGTCTTCAGGATGCCACACAGAGGATAAAATTTTCCCCTAAATCTCAGTTACTGTAGTGGTTCTAGAATTTGAATTTAGATGATGCCATTCCAGAATGCATTCTGTTAACTGTGGGGCAGTGTGAAATGTCCTATAGAAAAAGAATTGGAGTTATTTCAAAGCATTTTGTGTATGTGTGAAAAGTGTATTTTTAAGTTTGTGGTAAATGGCTTTTTGATGGCTCAATAATAAAGCAGATAATCTATTTAAAAGTTAATTAGGATTTTTTTTTTGGGTCAGTCATGGGGCCTGAACTCTGGGCCTGGGTGCTGTCCCTCAGCTCTTCAGCTCAAGGCTAGTGCTCTAGCACTTGAGACACAGTGCCACTTCTGGCTTTTTCTGCTTATGTGGTGCTGGGGAATCGAACCCAGGGCTTCATGAATGCAAGGCAAGCACTCTACCACTGAGCTACCTTCCAGCCCATTAATTAGGACTTTATGAAATGGGTAATATTGAAATGTTATGTACTTTGTACTGAGATCTCTAAAACCAGTGTTTTTCCAATCTGCCCTGTATGGTGTAGGCTACCACAGCAAGCTGTCTTGTTTCTTTTCACCATCTGAGTTTGTCTACACTTGGTATT